GTACATAAAAGTTATCCTTAAGTAATTTAATGACCCGATCATTATTAGAAACATTATTAACTGACATTGTGAACACTTTATTCTATAAACCCCACTCATATAGTGTGTCAACAATCTCTGAAGCTTTGTGAGGTGGAGATAAGTGATGGAAACTTACCACACCCTTTTACAACTTCCAATTATAGTCTATATAATATGTTGTCATAACCAAATAATAAATTCATTAATTTTTTTTTACTTCCATATATCTATGGAAAATTTGATTTTTCTTATACTATTTAGTACATTATGTAGCTTTTTTTTTTCTCTTTTTGTATACTAAAATGACATCACTGCGAGCTGTTGTTCTTGAATATTTCAAAAAATAAGGTGAAATTGGCTTAAGAACAATATTAAAATCAAATTCTTGTTGACCTACAACCACCATTCGGACCCAACTGTCAACCCCACGATCAAACGCAACTACTCCCCATAATCTCCTCAACAACACACAAAAAACTTCCTCATACAGTAAAAAGAGGCATTCGACACATACTTAGCATAGGAATTGGACGATTCGACATCTCCCTGCCTCGTGCGATTGTCCAAGGCTTTTTGACTAATGAACTCACCAATTGTCGAACCTGTGTCGTCGGTCGACTCACATGACTCTACCATTGTGCCCTCGCTCGACATCTGATCTGACTGCCTTAGCCGACCCTTGATCCTGCTCTAATCGCATCCTCTGCAGCCGACATCAAAGCCAACTTTCGTACCCACTCGCTGGCCCACTCCAGCAGCCTACATCTCATTGGTCAAATCCTGCGCTTCGCTGCCGGCCCGCTTCTATCTCTTGCTGTCGTGCCTAAACCGCGAACGACTTGCAAACCCGACCCATGCCCTAGCCGCCTTCCGTCTACCCCTCCCTTTATGTATGTATATATATATAATACAAAAAAATATAGAATTTTGATATAATACAAAAAAAGATAGAATTTTCAAATAGATATCACAAAAGGAGAAGACATGAAGGAAGTCCTGGGGTTGATAAGGTACCCCAAAGCCCTTGGCCATTGATCTAATCTGGCTGAGTAGATCGGAGACTTGCAGCCCAATTCAGGGACAAAAAAAAAGTTCTAAAGCCCTCGATCGTAGATTATCTTTTCGGTTGGGCAGACTGGAAAGATCAAGTGTCATCCCTAACCTCCACTAGCAGGGAGGGGGCGTTGGAAGGTTGTTGGATTTTCAAGGGGAACAAAATGTGCGTTTTAATTTAAATTAACAGGTCACATGCAATGGAATACTGGAAGGCTTATTCTGAAACAAAATAATGTCTAGAAGCCCTCAGCCGTTGATTATTTTTTCGATTGGACGAGTTTGAAATGGCAAGTGCCCTCCCTACCTCCCTTTTCAAGGAGGGGACATTGGGAGGCTTAAAGGGACCCCAAAGAATTAATTTGTCACTTTAATTAATTATATAAACAAAAATATGACGATAAAAAGAGATCACACTCATGAAACTCATATGACTGAAGTAGAGGCAACACATGTAAATGCAATATGTTGGGATGAGGGGCTCGTTCGTTCACGTGAAGGAGGCGTTCACAAGCTGTTATGTGGACGAGTGATGGCTATAGGTGCAGAGGCGAGAGAGCAAACATTCAAGAGGCACGGCTTGGAAGTTCCGACCAAGTGTGACTTCAGATATCGCAAGCAAGGCGTGAGATTTGGTTTCGTTTGCAGGAGAAGACATGGTTTGGTGTGCAGTTTGCCCACGTGAGATCAAAGGAAGCCGCACCTACGTGAGATCGAATGAAACCATAGTTAGTTCCGGCATTGGGGTTAAGATTATGGAGAGGAATACAACTTGGGGTAGTGAATTGAAGGCTATTCGACGTTGGGCTTGCGAACAAGAGCCTGGAGACGAACAAGGTCAACATGGGCTTGTTTTTTTTTTCTTACATTTTTATTACCCATATATTTATTCGAAAAATAGAAAGCATATCTCCTCAAATCATCAAGCTCAAGGACACAACCTCTGCCTTGTATTTAACAACTTCATGATAATTTCATAACACTTTTTAATGTGATCTGTAATTTGGTTGAACCAAACTAAGCTCACATCAGTAGCTCTATTCACAGCCAATTCCAACGCAAATGTGTTTGCCTGTTAAACAACTAGTTTCACTGGCTAATGATTCTGTGATCATGAAAATTTCCAGTTTTCTAAAATGGCCTCATCTTCTTCTTTTTTTATTAAACACCACATAATGCTTTGATGCTGGATAAATCAAAGCATTATGACTTTCATGTGTTGTAATGAAAGTCATAGTGTCTTTCTTTATCTACTAAAGGACTGTGCAGTGTCCACGGCATTTGAAATTGAAGTGAATCTATCCTGATTCGACTCCTGCATGTTGGAAAACTAAAACTGCTCTGCTAAGGAATAATACTTTTCATCTACAGATGGAGGGTCTCAGTATCCATCTCTTCAATTGATGTATATAATTAACAAGGCTTAATCATATAATTATTATTTTTTCATAGTTGAAATACTCATATCATGTGTGCTGTGATTATCTGTTTTATGAGTGGAAAAATACATAACTAAGGCATCACATTGTTGATAATTTCTTCAAAAAATATGCCTCAAGCCTCTTTTTTTTATATTTGAACAAAAAATTTAACATGGTTGTTGTCAGATCCCACGTCCTGGATGAGAAAAGTGGAGAATAATTTTAATTAGTCGACAACCAACATAAAACTTTCAAATAATCATAACATAAATCCGAAAGTTTATACAAAATGCATGTGTCAGAACTAACGTAGTGAACTTCCCAGCAATGATCATCAAATATGAAGATGCATAATTTTAAATTATCATTCAGTTCATAAACTATGCCTTAACAAACAAAGAATAATACAAAATTTTGATAGAGACAATATTGATAAAATAATAGAAACGTCAACAGATGGATGGAGAAAAAAAATTGTATGGTGGCGCAAGGGTGTTGTAATTCAGTACGACATGACAAGATATGAAACTTCCCTAATTAGCTTTCAGAGCTCTCAATACTTTCGAAAGCAAGCTCAAAATATCTTACTGTAATCATCAACAAAATGGACATCAAAGCCTTCTTTCACATTATCAGAAAGCTCATCAAAGTTTATTCTATTTGCGGCGGGGAATATGATTGTCTTTATCTCACTCCTCCATGCAGCTATAATCTTCTCCTTAACCTAATTCATTTATGGAAGATACCAATCAGAACTATAACAGAGGAGAAAATCATAATAAACAAAAATTATGGAGAAACTAACAAGAGTGTTTCTTACAAGCAACAAGATAATAAATTGAAGCTTCCTATATTAATATCTTTCAAGGAAAATGAAAGAGAAGAAATGAGGTTGAGAAATAAGAGGAAAAGGACTTGGAACAAACAAAATAAATGTAATTGCAAGCACATTAGATGTTGAATTTTTATCATCAATATTAAAAGAATGCATGAACAATTTAAATGTTAATCAACAGATGTGGAGACATTATAATCAACTAAAGCCCAAGTTCAAGTTGCAGAGTATTATTTAGATTACAATAAAATTAAATGAAAATCGATAACCTATCAAACATCCCTAAGTACATCTATTAAAGAGGCTTCTTGAGCTTATAATGTCCCATTCAGAGAAATTGTTTAGGAGTTGCAGCTAGTCACCCTTAACTATACCAACATACATGAAAATGGGGACTTCAATATTCATAATTAAATTGATCAAATAGAGCATTTCAGACTCTGTAACATTACTCTGCTCACAAACAACAAATTAGCATGATAAAGTTTGTAATTTTGCGAACTAGCCAACAATATTGATAGTTAAATTTATAATATCAAGGCATGAGGGAAAAAAAAGTAATTCATCAGAAACTATCATAAGAAGAAAATTAAAAACCTGAAACATACCCCAAAAATTGGAAGAATCCGTCCAGTCAATGTAACTTCACTAGTCATGGCTAGATCTTTTCTTAATGGCCTCTTTATTGCAAGGGAGAGCAATGATATGATCATGGTGCAGCCATCACTCGACCCATCCTTGGGCGTTGCACCAGCAGATACATGCAAAATGAGCTTTGGCCTATAATATGAAGTGCACATTTGTCTTCTCCTTCCAACTTACCAGTTCATAAAGGATTGCTGATCAATAATCCAAATTTTCTTTATTATGTTGATTATATACTTTGTAAATTAAGCAGTTGATGTCTTAATGTAAATAATAATTGTTTTCTTGACAAGTCGATAAATTGATTGATATAGAAGAAAAAGTTGGTGGTGATACTGAGGATGATAAAATTGTAATTGATGTTTCAAATTTGGTTGATTTTGTGGATAAACTAATATTCCATGCTGATAAAATTTATGATCAAACTCCGATAGGAGTTGTTATGGGGCTAGCATGGACTGCTTTGGACGGATTTACACTATATATTGAAACAATGCTAGTTGAGCAAAGAGAAGGCAATGGTGCACTTCATATTATAGGTCAAAGCTCCATTGCATGTACCTACTTTGAGTTGGCAAAAAATGGGTTTTCAGGAACTTTCTCAAACAAATTTGCTTGGGCAACTGTGTGAGCAATTTGGGCACTCTTTCATGACATCTCCAAGTTGACCTGCAATATGAAGTGCACATTTGCCTTCTCTTTTCCCAACTAGTGTTGTTTCAATATATAGTATAGATCTGCCCAAAGCAGTCCATGCTAGCCCCATAACAATTCTTATCGGAGTATGATCATAAATTTTATCAGCATGGAATATTAGTTTACCCACAAAATCAACCAAATTTGAAACATCAATTACAACTTTATCATCCTCAGTATCACCACCAACTTTTTCTCCTATATCAATCACTTCATCGACCTGTCATGAAAACAATTATTATTTACATTAAGACATAAATCACTCAATTCACGAAGTACATAATCAATGCAATAAAAAAAATATGAGTTACTGATCATCAATCCTTTCTAAGCTGCAAGTTAGTCAACAATAATCAACACCAATATTAAAGGAACAAAGTTACACGCAACCTAAAGAAAACAATGGTCCTCAGTAAAAAAATGCATTTCTTGTCTTATGAACATTAAACCCCATACATTTAAGGGATGAGTGGACAAAAAATCTTTTGGTGAAATGTGTATCCCATGCACTTTTTCAAAATGATTGTGTGGCACTGCACGAAAGTTGAACAAATTAGGTGCGTGGGTGAGATTACTGTCAAATAATTAGGAAGAAAAATAAGTCGCAAAAAAAGAAATAAGTCCTAAAGTTGTGAACATATGCTTACAATAAATAAAGCTAAGACATTATGTATTAATAGGAATTAAAATAGATGGGATTCACAAAATCAAACCCAAATAGTTAGGATAAGGCCAATGACGACGGTTGTTGCAAAATTGGTAAAATTGAACTTGAATGACCAATATATAGGCATCTCAAATAACTAAAGGTATATGCTATTACCATATATGTGTATTTAATATCAAAAAATGTTAGCGCTGACTATAAAGTATAAGTTTATATTTATGCGCCAATGAAAGCTTGGGTTTATGCATGTGCATCAAGATAATCATTTGTCCTAGATGTGTCATTCATATGTTTGGCAAGATTTTAGAGTATGTAGTGGTGTCTTTGCCCCATGTCAGCATTAGTATTTCATACTAATTCGTAAATTGACCTGTTTCCCACATTAGATAAGCTGTTGTGCCAAATTTTTTACTATTGCAAAAAACAAAATAAAGGTTGTTTTTTATTTTAGAGAAGTTGCAAATAGTAACTGTTCGAGTAGATGATAGTCAGCACAGAGAGCGAGTCAACAGAAAAAGAGAGAATAGCAAAAAAAAAAACTACCATAGAAAACACAAGCAACAACAGAGCAAAAAGGCAACAGCGACAGTAAGCAAGCAAGGCAGGAGCAACAACTACAATGGTTCTTGTAAAAGAGAATGCAACTACAGTTTCAATACTTTGGGAAAATCGAGAGATGACATCTAATCCACTACTTAAAAAACTCCATTAAAAACATAAAAGAATCCCCATTTATTATAATAAATTAGATATGTTCTATCTACAAAATAATTCCAGCTGAAACATCTTAATCCTTAATTTAACATTAGAAACAAATAAACTTTAATTCGACAATCCAACTTATGGGACCTTAATTTCTCACGTATGATGTTTGGTTAATAATACAATCGTGATTTTGTACTCTTGATGATATCCTATTCAATCTCAATGACGTGATCTACGAATCACTACCTCCAGCAGACTTGATCAAAAGATAGGACGATTGGATTTAACTGATTCAATCTTCTAATCCATCCATAAGTTGATGCCCAACTTATGAAGGGATGCTTCTATTTTAGTCTTCTAAGAAATGAATGGTCAGATTTAACATATCGTTCATGATATCATCACCAAATCTCATAGCTACTGAGCATGGAAACAGTAGGAAAAACTCATCTAGCAAGGTACAAATAACTAAGATGCTTATTATTTAAAATGTAAATTATCACTAAATTATTAAAAACATCAACATGATGTCAAGTCATAACCTAAACAAATTACACCCATAGGCTATTCTAAGCATTAAAAATAAATGTATGAAGATAATAGCTCCAAAGGATGCACAAATAATATCACGGGCACAATATGCAGACCACAAGAAATGATAACTTCAAATTCTCAAGCAAAAAGGCAACGGGAAGTCTTCAAGCTCAATAACAGCAGTTCTTGAACAAATTATCTAGAGTTTATTGCTCTGTAAGTAAGGAAAAACAAACCTTTGAGTTAATTTGTTCGCCAACTCTTGTAGTTTGGTCAGGGGATAGATCAACGTCTACCATTTCAACCTCCTCCCAAGTTTCACCAATTTGTTCAGGATTAGCTATTTTTTTTGGAATCTGCACTAGCAACAGCATCAACATTTTTACTAGATGGATCATTATCTGATTTTTCAAAGCTTAGAGAACCATCAACATCGTCAATAAGATCTTTTTTAGATGGTTCATCATATTGCTTAAGTTTTTACAAGGCTGAATGCTGGCAGCGACAGATGTCTCAATTGAAATTGCCTTACGAACTAATTATAGAGCTATCTGTCAAAATATCAGAGTAATAAGTACAAAATGGATAACTATTGGGAGTGAACAAGTATTTCTTACAACACGAGAACTTCATGATTTATATTGCAGATAGAAGTACAAGTTCATGTTATAGAAACTGGCTTAAGAAGAAAACTGATGGAACAAACTCAAGTAAAAAGTCATATATTTTAATAATATACTTCTTCGCTATCTTTAACATGCTAATCTGTGGAAAGCATCATGACTTACAAGTGGTGGTTCTATAATATATTCAATAGCAACTTGATTTTCGAGATGAATAATCAGACTTGGGAGATGTGAACCTATTATTCCTAATAATCAAGTAAGTACAATGACAAACAGTTCCCTAAACTACCTTTTTAACTGCAGATCAATAAGGGAACTTAGCAGCAGAATTAAAACAGATTTAACAAAATCATTATGCACAACTACAATGCCCCAAAGCTGACAATTTGAAATTAATTGAGTGGACAACAAACAAAATTGCTAGTAACAGACGAAATATCACTATGATTGTGCAACCAAAGGAAGGAAGCCCACATATAGTTTTAAAATTATATTTCAAAGAACTCTCATGAAAAAACCTAGATTATTTGCTTGTTCTGATTATTAAAAATAGCACAAACTGGATTGAAAAAACTAATACAACCTAAAAATATGAAAGCATGAACAACCTTCAAAATTCATATATTCAAACCTTGCGGTATATCTTCTCAATTTGTTTATGCAAATTACGCACACCAGCCTCTCGACATTAATTTCCTATAAGTTCATGTAGAGTTGCAGCTGTTACTTCCACCTTAATATTTTAATCTAATTAAATTTACTCGATTAGAAATATTTAAAAAATTAATGGTTCAGTTTGTCTTGTCCTTTCATAAAATGATGCAATAATTTTAGTCACAAAGCATCTCAGACATGACAGTATTACGGCATACTTGTTCAGGCTTGATACCACAAGCTTCACGAGTTGCATTCTCCAGGTAATCTCTTACAATATGCATCTTTTCATCAGTTATATAACCAACAATCACAATTACTTCCATTCTATCCAAGAGAGGAGTCAGAATTGCCTCAATCATATTTGTTGTGCAAACAAAGAGCACCTGCACTTCAAATAAAGAAATATACTTCTTCTAATTTCTAAAAGAAGTTTGCAAATTTTTTCATGAATTTCTATAGAAAATAAAAACAATCGACAATTCCATTGAAACGAAACAATTTGTGTAGACTATAGACCGTAGCATCAATTCTGGTTAGATGACCCACAACCAAATGCTCTTCATCTAGTGTGATTTATTATCCAAAACCGTAATTAACCATGTTTTATCATTATATCACATTAACTAGCATAAAAAGTGAGCTAATTAATTACACCACAAGGTCAAGATAGTAGGAATTAATGTGGATCGGGTTTGAGGCAGGTCAACTCCTATTATGCCCCATCAAAATTTTGTAAGTCACAGTTGATGTAGGACATCTTCGAGTTTGGGTTCTCCTAATGCATATGGTGAAAAAATAAAAGAATCAGATGCATTAATAGTAAATTACAAAAAAAAAAAGATACACTAAATGAACTACAATCAGGAGTTCTAAAGGAGTTTGGGTTCCCTTTTATGTTCATACCTAAGCCTTTTATCAAATTCTCACATTCTTATTTCAAATTCAACACCCATTGGATCATAACAAACCCCTCCCCTTTCAGATTCAACCCCCCTTGGTCATAATTACTCATTTCTCTTTCAAATATCGATCTTTCCTCTCCAAATTAGCACCTCTTTATTCTTTCCCTACCTCCTCCCGCATCTCCCCTATCCTCTACTTGACTCCTCCCTAGAAATAGGCCCTAGTGGGGGAATTTTTTCTATTCCCTTTAAAATCTTCACCTCTTGATATTCCCTTCGTCAGATTGGACTAGGATTTTCCCCACTTCCCTGGTTGTTGGGGCCTTCCATCACCTGCGACGGCGATATTTTGGTTTGACCCTCGAGCACTTTCTTCAACATCTCCTCTATAATGGAAAAATTCAAATCAATCTTATCATGGATGACTGAAATATCCTTTTTTAACTCTGAAACTTGAGTTTGGAGATATAAAATTTCATATTTCATTTGTCCGATCTCCCCTTCTAATACTTCTACCTTTCTTCTCTCTAGAAGCCCCCGGATCTTTATTAGGCTCCAAAATCCATATTTCCACCTAAAAACAGCAAAAACCTCAGTCCAAAGTAGAAAAATCTACTGTAAGAATTCTTCAAAAACAGACCGAAAACCGCTCTTATACCAATTTGATAGGAAACTTTTATAGGTCTCAAGTAATTCCTATCAATCTTTGAAAATTTGCGAGAATTCTCCACAAAAATCCAAACAAAACTAGGAAAACAATAGATAATTCGTATTATTTGATGAAATGTAAACGAAAAATACCAAGATACAATTGATCCTCTATTCAAAAGGATCTATCTCTCCCAATTCTCTAGATGCCACTGCAGCCCTAAACATAAGGGAGATCTCAAATTTTCAGTCAAATTCAAGACACCCTAACCATAAGAAAACAAACTATTTAATGCGTACAATCAAAAAGGAAATCTCTAAACAATCCCTACATTCAATTTCCCTCCTAAACTTCTCCTAAAACCTTCCTAATCGCTCTTCTGGACTGGGCAGTTTTACCGACATATACAGGAGGCGAAGAAGTTCTGCCTTTGTTGCCCATAAGCCGGTCTCATATGGACCGGTTGGAACGGTCCAATGTACTAGTATAACACCATCATCCATATATAACATAAAACATGACTCAGATATTATTCCTAGTCCTCCATTGTCAAATTTGCTTGACTAAAGCAATTAAACATCTTAAGATGCGTTATGACAATGATGCCTTTTGTTTTAGTGCCTCTTAACTTAATTGACCTGATCTACTGTTCATTTTATAACAATGCATTCTCCTTAGCACTTTATCTACAATCTTTATTTACATATATTACAATGAGTTGACAAAAATAGTGATAACATTGCTGAAATTATTTTTAAAAGTATTGTTAAACTCCATATCACAGCCAAAAGGAATGAAAAGAGTGGCTTAAATCATACCTGAAATCCAGCCGAATTCATGCAGAAATCCCGCAAAATCCTGTAGCTCGGCGCCGTTTACGTCGCTTCTCCACAATTCACGCTCAGAGCCCGCTAGAGGAGGCCCTTCCTCGTCTTTAAAATGCGAATGAAATGGAGCCTTCTGGGGGCCATTCGCAAATCCCACGACCTCATCTCCTCTCCTCCTTCCCAAAATCCCGCAAGCCCTTCGATTCCTCCCGAAACTGAACCCAGCCGAAACCTCCACTCCACTTTACATCTTCTTCTCCCACGGTGAAGTCAAGCCTCACTCCGACCCCAGGCCCGACTGCACCTCCCGATCCCGATCTCTTTGAGCCGCAGAGAGAGAGAGAGAGAGCTTCCACATTACCATGCAGCCATCTACCCGATCCCCTTGTCTCCAAGATGCTCTTCCGATTGACATCCCCAAGTCCCGATCCGCAAAAGGCAAAGCAGCACTGGCCGAATCCCTATAGGCTCTTCCTTTTCCTGTTCACTGGAGCCAAAATCCCTCAACCGATCTTCCCCTCTACCCGAACCCCAACAAGCCGACGCCTTCTCCTCTGTTTCCCTAAGCTGCTATAGTAAGGATATTAATATAATATCATTTATTATTATTCATAATGTTGTTATTATAATTTGTCTTAGTATTATTATGAGGATTATTATTATTTAGTGATATTAGTTTTGTCATTAGCCATTAGTTATTATTATTAGCTATATTAACTGCATTTTGTTTTAATCATTATTAGTTGTTATCAAAGCTATATATATATATACTTATTTGTGTGTTTGTAAAAAAAAAAAAAAAACAAAAAAAAAAAAAGACGCGTCGTATTTACTTCCGGGGCTGC